AGGCTCCGGCCTTCTTCAGGTGGTTGGAATGTCGATGTGAACCCTTTATTTCACTCACTGGGGTAGACTGTTTTAGTTCATTGCAATGATAACAGCAAAAATTGCAATATGAGCACTGGTAAAAATGGTTGCTGAAGACATCAAGTCTATAAGTCGCAGAAATTTTTACACAGATGTCCTTAAGGACACATGGCACAATGGATAAAGGTGTTGGTTAGATCCAGTGGCTGGACCCAAAGAGTTGGGTTAAGGAAGTGGAGAACTTGGAGAGGTGAATTAATTGAAGATAACTGATACCCATTAGACATGACACGTGGAACTAGAACAGTCTACCCGACCGAGCGAAATAAATGGTTTAGCTTGACATTCCAACCACCTGAAGAAGGCCGGAGCGTACAACGGCCGAAACGTTGTGATAAATATGGCGACAAAGATGAGGACAATAGTCGAAATAATATAAATAATGTTCATTATGTGTAGTTCCTATTTTTAAGAACTCTGGAGAATCTTCTGACCTCTCTATCGGCTTATTAGTCTCCCGTCGCTCTTTGACAATGTATTCGAGGTTTTAATCAATACTGAAAAGGTTAAGCATCTTACCTCTCATAACCTACTCTCTAACAAACAATATGGCTTCCGTTTGGCCAGGTTTACCGCTGATATGCTATCAGCCATCACTGAATATACATATGATCGATGCCAACAAAGTCTAACGACAAATGCTTTTCAAGTCATTTGTTGGGTCGGGAAGTAGCAAAAAAAAGGCGATTTTCTCACTTAATCGACAATGTCTTCCTTCTGTCTCGAGAAAGCGAACTTCTTTTTTATCTGACTTCTCACTAAGTTTCGGCCACGGAAAAAAGCCCCCTACACACTCACTGCTTGACCACTTCACTCACTATTGGCTGTTTCACTGACTGTCGGTCATTTTACTGAATACTCATTATATAAATACTAGCTGTAGGACCCACTACTCGCTTGTGTTCCACCAACAGGAAAAGGGGAGCACCCAGACAGCATTCGGGTGGTCAGTTTTTTTCAAAGGACTCTAGTATCTAAAATCACTAACAAAACTTTATGTTTAACGTTTCAATGTTTGGCTAGAGACAGGATTCGTAAAAAAAAATCCTTGTCACTAAATTTACTCAAAGATGAGCTGGAGACGAGATTCCTGAGAAAACCTCGTCATTAAATCGATTTAAAAGGAAAAATAATGTATCTATCCATCCCCTAAGGATGTGGGAGAAATCTTATTGTAAATGAAAATACTAATTCTTATCGAAATATGTATTTATCAATATCACCTCCATTGCTGTTAAAAACTTCATTGCATCTTTTAACAAAATTATAAATGCCATGTTTGTAAAATTCTTTAGGTTTTTACGAAACCAGCTGATGTTCAATCTCTTAAGTTGATATCAAGTTTAGGCCATCCAAATGGTTCTGCAAATCGCTAAACAGGTGAGACTCAAGAGTTGGACCGGGAGAATATGGCGAAGGATTGCTTATTGTCTAACAGTACATAATGGATGGTTTCTTGAATACCTCATCATACACTCAACATGATTTTCTTTGGGTGAAGTTCTTTCGGTTACTGATCAGTTCTGTTTTCTTGATGACACGCTTAGGCGATCATGTATCTTTCAATACATGACTGATGAGGCAGATTTTTTTCCCCGCTGTAAGTTTTCATTTCTTTCTGCGGTAGACCAGTTGCTATCCGAGGCTATAGAACCCGGTCTGTTCCGCTATTTACCTCACCGTAAAAATTTAAAACCTAGCCTCATATTATGAGGAGACATTTGTGATGGTATGAAGGATTGCTGAAATCAGGATATTGATGTTTGGTCAGATATTACGAATCGGATTGGGCCGAGAACTTTTTACCACTCTCGTATAACCACTTCTCTAGGTTTTTAATCTTTCATATGGGGTCAGTTGTGGGGTCAGTTCAGTTATGTGCCATGCGTGATACACGCTTAGGCGATCATGTATCTTTTGATACATGACTAACGAGGCAGATTATTTTCCCTGCTGTAGGTTTCCATTTCTTTCTACGAGAGATCAGTTGCCACTCAAGGCTATAGAACCCGGTTTGCTCTGCTATTTACCCATAGCTGGGGGAAGAAAAGTGTTTATACCTTTCCCAAGGTTATTAGTACGTAAGTAAATGTAATGGATCTGACTGGATTTTGAACTCGGCTCTTCGATTCCTTAACATTATTGTAAATGATACAATTATCATCGCTAGTAAAAATTCTTTCCAAAAACAAGGTACTGAAGTTAGCATGTAAGAAATGACTCCCAACAATCGACACGTTGTCGGAGATTCTCCCGTCAGACAGTTGTGGCGGTACCCAGTTTACAACTACTGAAACCTTTCCAATTAATTGCTATTCACGTAGCGTTCAGGAAGTCAGAAAACGGCTATTTAAGTTGCATTTAAATTTTTGAAGATTGTAGGTCATATGACTAACATTAAAGTCGTATTGTTAGTCGTATGACTAACATTAAACATCCCAACCAGTCACCTAGTCGTAGTAGCAGTAACAGAAGATTCCAAATCGTCCGCCTCGATTTCTTTTTAGTTTTAAAACAGGAACACCATCACCAAAAACAACTTTCAATCAACGCATCGTCCCCATTATTATACTGGATGCATTTTGCCGCATTCTTTGCGTTGACACGTTCATGAAACTCATAGAATACAACATATTAGGTGGTTTCTTTAGTTCGGATGAAAATAAGGGCGAAATATATTTTAATCATTGCATAAAGGGTGTTTCATTAAGGCGAATTATATATAAGTGTGTTTCATTAAGCCGGATTATATATAAGGGTGTTTCATTAAGAGGGATCAAAGTCATGTGAAAAATTATTCATTTCTCTATTCGATCATGTTAAGCCATGACAATTTTGCGTGAAAAATAATATCGCCCAAATGTCCGCCAAATCCGAAATAAAAAGAAATAAAAATATCATTCGACGCTTAAACTTAATTCGCATTAAAAATCGGTCAAAGTTATTGAAACACCCTTTTAAGTAGGGCGATAAAGCCACTAAGATGCAAGGGGTTACTGAGAGGGAAAGTAAATGAGAGGACGTTAGTGAGTCGAAAGAAGTATAAAAGAAGCGGATTCAAGAAAACAGAAGATGGTGATTTACTGATTGACGTTACATTTACATTTTTGGAAATCGGTTGGTGGCAGTCAAGCAAGAAACTGAAATAGATTTACACAGCTACGTGGAGCGACAAAAGAAACTATTAGAATAAAAATTGCAGTTCCATATAGCTATTTTAACAGTAATAAGATGAGACTTAGAAAAAATCTAATTGTACCTTTGAATTGATGGCGTCTAGGTACCAAGGAGGACCGTTTATTAAAACAATTGCCATCAAAATATTCATAGAAAAGTCACATGCACGCTGGCGGGAAAGTGACTGAAATCAAAACGCCAGGTAAGGACCGATAATATTAAATACTATTTGGATTTTGTCGAGAATCTCTAGATATACAGTAGGAGCATCAGACAAAATGTGGCCGCAATATTCAATATATTACATTGTGATACTGGTTTCCAACCAAGTATTTTACTGTTGAAGAACAGATGATATGTAGATGGGGCGGAATCAATCGAACAAAAATGTTGGTCAATGAGGAAAAAGCCACAGTTACACACAGCAGCCATTGAAACCAAAGACTTGTGTGCTGGAACATTGTCCTCATGAAACAAAACCTTTCGTTAATTTTGCTATGCATTTAGTCTTCTGTTATGGTCCGGGTTCCTTGTACCAGGGTGATAGTTCAAGGTAGAACCAATAAAGAAGAACTCGAACGCGGATATGGAATAACACAGATATATTACAAACAGGAATATATACAGAGAAGAAGAAAGCGTTAGTACGAACAATCAGGTTTAGTAGTAATTGTCTGAACGCGACTCTGTTTCGGACTGCCTCTAACTCGACTGACTGACTCGCTCGCTCTGACTGACTGACAGACTCCTCACGGACCTCACTCCAGATCAGACGGGACTCTCTGCTTCCTCTTGAGGCGCAGTATTTATCACGTATGGAATAGTCCATTCTGTTATTATGGGTAAGGTCCCATAACATCTTCATATCCTTTCGTAACAAGCTCAGCAAGTTGACATAGTACTCTCCACTGATTGTGTGGCCCTTTTGTATATAGTCAATAAACACAATGCCTTTTGTATCCCCAAAATCTGAGGCCATCATCTTTTCCTGCAGATGACATTTGCCTTCTTTGGAGCATATGAGGATGAATGTTTGCATTGCAGGGAAACTTTGCCTCTGTGTGTAAGTGATGGACACATGACTCACCTTGGATTACGAAACATTCAAGGAAACCAGATGGATCTTCCTCAAACAATGTCGGATTTTCCGGTGTTGCGATGAGATTGGTGCGCTTTCGATCAGGTATCAGAAGATGTGGCACCCACCGAACAGTAACCTACGTCCTACCAAGTTCATTGTGCATTATATTTTCAATTATCTCATGGGATAAATTAATAGCATTGACGATTCAATTTTATAATCCATCGCCTCTCATCCAACTCCATGTCGTGAACACGATCAACGTTTTCCTCAATGGTGGCAGTCAAAAGAAGGCCCAGACATTGGATCATCTTTCCCGCCTAAATTCAGCTGCCCATTTTTGCACAGCTGATAAAGCTAGGGCGTTATCTCATAATGTAGTAACCTTGTCAGCATGGAGTGCTAAACACATTTTCTGCGGGTACTTAATAACATCATGATACTACTTTTGGTCTATTTCAAGAGAACTCCCTCTTGTTAATTTTGAAGTCTTCTTTGAACTCACTGATGTCAGTTAACTTGGAAAGAAACAATGCAGTTGTTGATAAGAAGAGTCGAAATTAATGCCTGCAAGAGTTCACAGCTCTAGCATTATTTCTTCATAGTCAGCCGCTGAATATTCCAGACCACACTCTTAATCTATAAATACCAGAGAGACCAATTATATCCTTGTAGCAATCAGCCGGTGGAATAGGATATCTGGAGAACATATTGGAACGACTAGAACAGATTAAATAAAAAGAGGAAATTCATGAAATATCGTTAGAAACAAAGAAAAAAAGTACTGGAGTGTTACTTAATATCCGTCCTCCTGCATGGCAGCAAATGCTGGACAACCTTCTGAAAGAAGTAGTAGAACCTTGAAGCAGCAGAAATGTGGTTCTACAGATTGATGTTTAGGATGCCATAGACAGAACACGTAAGAAACAATGAGGTTTAGGAGAAAATGGAAACAAAAAGGAAACGTATATTTATTAGGAAAAGGCAGCTGAAATTGCTGGGGCACTTAAAGAGGAAGGAGGGCTTGGGAAACCTGATACTCACAGGAGGGATTGAGGGTAAGAGGGACAGAAGAAAATAGTAAATAACAAATAACAATAATAGCAAATGGATAGTAGAACAGGGTATGGGAGAAATAACAAAAAGATAAACATTAATAATTTAGGGATACAAGGGAAAGAGAGAGGTGGAGTCCATGATCTTCTACGTCATAAAAGAACACGGTACATAAGATAAGAAGAAGGAATCAGCCATAATAAATTAAGTCTAGAATATAGAATAGGGGTAAATTTTGTACAACACTACAGAGGGTATAATTTCAAAACATTAACCTCGGAACGCGAAAACATGTTCTTAACCCTATTAGATCTAAACTCTCATATCGATGTCAAGCGTATCATCCAGAATTGACCTATGGGCCATATGCAACCGATTTCTCAGGTCAATAAATATAAATGGTTTCTAGCGAATGAAGCCTATTTGTCTTTCAGTGAACTGTCCTTTGTCGGGTCTCTTAGATTGGTTTTAAAAAAAAACTGAAGCCACATTACTTGAAGACTTTCAACAGCTGCAACAAGGAAAATTCATAACACATGTAAATCGAAGAGAAAAGAATGACATAATGAATATGTCTACTTTCCATCCTTTCTAAAAAGAAAAAAAAAAACCTTAATACTGGCAGGGGCGACTTAAAAAATATATTTTCCTCAAAAACTGTTTTAGTAAGATTTTTTTTTAAATTCAACAGAGAGTAACGTTAACTGTTCGATCAATGAATGACTAAGCTTTCCATAGAAAGCAGCGGCTAAACTCAATACTATGTGCGTGTCTGCGTGTGTACGTGTGTGCGCAGATAGATAGATAGATAGATAGATAGATAGATAGATAGATAGATAGATAAACAGACGTACATAGATAGATAGATAGATAGATAGATAGATAGATAATGAACAAATCAAAAGAGACATATTAGATAAATAATAGACTGTAATCCATAAACAGATAGATAATAAATGGACTGAAATAAACAGATAGGTAATGAATAGGCTGTAATCCATAAACAGATAGATAATAAATAGATAGATAAATAGATAGATAGATAATGAACAAATCAAAAGAAATATAGATAGATAAATAATAGACTGAACAAATCAAAATAGATAGATAGATAATAAACAGACGTAGATAGATAGATAGATAGATAAACAGATAGATAGATAGATAGATAGATAGATAGATTAGATAAATAATAGACTGTAATCGATAGATAGATAGATAATAAATAGACTGAAATAAACTGATTGATAATGAATAGGCTGATAGATAGATAGATAGATAGATAGATAGATAGATAGATAGATAGATAGATAATGAACAAATCAAAAGAGATATATTAGATAAATAATAGACTGTAATCGATAGAGAGATAGATGATAAATGGACTGAAATAAACAGATAGATAATGAATAGGCTGATAGATAGATAGATAGATAGATAGATAGATAGATAGATAGATAGATAGATAATAAACAGACGTAGATAGATAGATAGATAGATAGATAGATAGATAGATAGATAGATAATAAACAAACTGAAATAGATATATGGATAGATAATGAATAGATCGAAATAGATAATGAATAGGGTGATATAACTTTGGGCCATTCTGAAGCATTTGCCGTTTTTTTTTCATTTATCGTCTGTACCAAATGATCTCTCGTGTGACTGTTAAAGTTGAGCGACATTTTAAAAAATGATCGTGTTCTCACGATAGGCGCAGATGCTTGTGTCAGATTCGGATACGCCACGATTTAAAATGCAGGGGAAAAAACGATTGAAATCAAACAAGAAAGCGAAAGCTAGCATAAATAAAATAAAAAAAAACTAATTTGAAAAACACATCTGCAGGGCCCCAAAATTTAAAGCGAAGAAAGGAAAACCAAGTGCGATGTCAAGAACGAGTGTATAGAATTCCTGTTGTCTAAATTTTCTAAGACGTTACGTTGACACGAAGGACGATGAACCCGACAGTGAATTTTGGAATTAAAAATTCTAGGAATCAGCGTTTCGCTAGAAGCAAGGCTGTCAAGATATTTGTAAAAGATTCCCAAATAAATTTTCAAGAGAAGGGATGGGAAATTTTATTGAAATCTATAAAACATGTGTGGAGTCTATAGAGCAGAAACACTACATAAATTATTCCGACTACTTGCGTTAGTTCCTGACCAATGACAATCTCTTTCATGCTGGAATTCATTTCATTTTGTTATAGAGTGAACGAAAACTTTTTCTTTTCTTCGTATGAGAAACGAATCCCTCGTCGCCAATGTGTTGTAGAGTAGTTTTCACAGTGGAGGCTTTTATTTCACTAAGTCGGTCCTAAAAGAGGTTCGACGTACAATAGGTTAGGAACTTGAAATAATAGAATAATGACGCAGCAATCTAGTTGTGGTGGTTGATACTTTAAGGTCCGACATCGACTGACTCACCAACTCACTCTGAGCCCCCTCTGACCACTGCTACTACTACTACTTATTATATGTGGAAAAGTCTATTAATAATAGAATAGGTATGTTCTAGTATAACACATTTATACTGAAAAACAAAGTCAAGATGTCAGGACCGATATTATTGCAGATTCTTCTTTTGTTTTTATCAAGGATTTCCAAATATAAATATAGCAGGTGCATATGTGGCATCAATATTCAAGGCATGAGTGAATGGTAGACTTATAAATATATATGATGGATTCTGGAGAATAAAATAATCTACACTATATACATTATTCGGCCTATTGTCCTTATCTTTGTTGCTATATTTATCACAACCTTTCGGCCGTTGTACGCTCCGGCCTTCTTCAGATGGTTGCAATGTCGAAGTGAACCCTTTATTTCACTCACTGTTCTAGTTCATTGCAATGATAACAGCAAAAATTGCAATATGAGCACTGGTAAAAATGGTTGCTGAAGACATCAAGTCTATAAGTCGCAGAAATGCATACACAGATGTCCTTAAGGACACAGGGCACAATGGATAAAGGCGTTGGTTAGATCCAGTGACAGGACCCAAATTGTTCTGAGTGCAATACCTGTTTAAGGAAGCGGAGAACTTGGAGAGGTGAATTAATTGAAGAAAACTGATAACTGACACCCATTAGACATGACACGTGGAACTAGAACAGTCTACACGAGTCTAGCGAAATAAAGGGTTCAGCTTGACATTCCAACCACCTGACGAAGGCTGAAGCGCACAGCGGTCGAAACGTTGTGATATATGGTAACAAAGATGAGGACAATAGTCGGAATAATGTAAATAGTGTACATAATACCTCATCTCAGAAATATAGACAGAGACTGAAAGAATCTAGCATGACACAAGGAATCAATTATTCTATTGAAATTTCATTAGCATATATTTACAATATAGTTAATGAATACATTCTAGTAGTCACATTACAATTTAAATTATACTATTTACATTGTTCGGACTATCGTCCTCATCTTTGTTGCCATATTTATCACAGCGTTTCGGCCGTTGTACGCTCCGGCCATCTTCAAGTGGTTGGAATGTCGAACTCAAACCTTTATTTTGCTCGCTCGGGTAGACTGTTCTAGTTCCACGTGTCATGTCTAATGGGTGTCAGTTATCAGTTATCTCCAGTTAATTCCCCTCTCCAAGTTCTCCACCGCCTTAACCAGCCAATGAACTCACACTCTTTGGGTCCTGTCACTGGATATAATTAACGCCTTTATCCACTGTACTATGTGTCCTTAAGGACATCTGTGCAAAAATTTCTGCGACTTATTGATTGATGTGTTCAGCAACCATTTTTACCAGTGCTCATATTGCAATTTTTGCTGTTATCATTGCAATGAACTAGAACAGTCTACCCCAGTGTGCGAAATAAAGGGTTCACTTCGACATTGCAACCATCTGAAGAAGGCCGGAGCGTACAACGGCCGAAAGATTGTGAGAAATATGTCAAGAAAGATAAGGACAATAGGCCGAATAATGTAAATAGTGTAGATTATTTTATTCTCCAGAATCCATCATATATATTTATGAGTCTACCATTCACCCATGCCTTGAATATTGATGCCACATATGCACCTGCTATATTTATATTTAGAAATCCTTGATAAAAACAAAAGAAGAATCTGCAATAATATCGGTCCTGACCTGGCATCTCGACTTCAGTCACTTACCCACAGACATAACGTTACCTACATTTACATTAAAATATTTTCATGATAAATATTTTGATGAATATTCCGCTATGTTACCTAGACTTTGTGAATTTAAACACTGTACTAGATTGGCGGCATGGGCTCATCTTTTTACAGTTGAAATGGCTAGATGTGACCGTAAGTTCTATGCTAACAGTTCCATCTTTCGCACTTCTTATTTGTAGAACTCACTTCCGGTTTCTTGCTTCCCAGTCAACTCTGATCCTCACAAATTTAAATACAATGTCAATCATTATCTTCTGTCTTCTTAATTCCATTTTTTTTTTGTTCTTTCTTGTTAATGTGGAATTTTTTTCTTCATGTTCATTCACACTCATTAAATACGTGTGCCTTAGTGGATTTATTAACTTGCTTGTAGTGGAAAGATCAAAAATTGGAAAATGCATTATTGTTGTGGTACGATCCACCTAATTTACATAGTGGAGTACCGACCATATAAATATGGTTGGTACCTGGAAGACGGGGGAGGAAGAAGAGATTCAATCCAGTGATTCTGCCCGACTGTGACTAAGTCAACCCATTCTATAGGAACGGTCTTCCCAAGAATATACCAAACTATCTGTAAATATAGTGTACACGTTCTTGTGTCAATACATTTTGTTTAAGTACATTTTGTGTTGTATTATTATTATTCCATGCTTTATTCAAGTTTCAACAATTATTAAAATAAGATTTATATAAATAACCAAATACTTCTTTTATGTGCTGTGTCAGGGACCTAGGCGATCATGGTCCTTCACATTTTCCTGTTCCTTGTAGTTCTTAATAAGTTTTGTCTTTTTGTTATTTCTCCAAAACCCTATTCTACCAACTATTTCCTCAAACTCATCAAGTATGTTACGCGCTGCTTTCCTCTGTCGTTATTTACCTTAATCTTGTCTCTGAGTACAAGATTCTTCAAACCCTTCTTCTTCCATCGGATTTCTGGCTCCTGAAACTTCCTTCTGCTCCTATCTTTCCTATTAAGTTTAATTTTCAAAAGTTAAATGCAATATCAGTCGCCATCTTCTGTCTTCTCAATTCCTGTTATTGTTTGCGCATGCTCCCTAATAATGTCTTGTCTTTCTTTTATTATTTCACACTCTGTAACCTCTTGTGTCCTTGTGGCTTTATACATCATGCTTGGGGCGAACTGATTAAAAAATGTGTTCAAAATTTATTTGCTTTTAAATGGAAGAGATTGCCCGATTTTCAAGAATTAATGCAAGCATTCCTGTACGAATAGGTCTATTTTAAAAATAATTTAAATTTTGTCTATGTTTCTGAGATGGGGTATTATGTACACTAATTATATTGTTCGGACTATCGTCCTCATCTTTGTTGCCATATTTACCACAAAGTTTCGGCCGTTGTACGCTCTGGCTTTCTTTTTTTCTTTATATTGGGGGTAAAATCTTTATTTCATTTTCCAAATATTTGAGACTCTGGGTTTTTTTGAATACGTATCCTAATACACCGAATACGTCATATAAGTGAAACTTGCCATTCATTTAAACGTACCTATGAGTTGTTGAGATTTATTGTAAATTAATACAATTATGGCACAAGGCCAAAAGGGAGAATGGCTTGAGGCTGGTCTTCACTAACTATCTTATACCTAGCTAATCCGATTCACGACCCATCCACTCGTTACAATTTCCTCATTTACTATAAAAACTCATCCATCGCTAATTATTCCTCCATACACTATAATACCACATCCTCTCAGGTTGAGTAGTTAAAAAAACATCCTAATGAGATGACAAATATTATTTACAATTTATATATACAAATCGGATGAATGATCATGAAAGGGAGAGGTGTACCCCAAAACAAACTAAATATCAAAACAAAGCAAAAATAATCATAACTGATGTTAGTAGGCCCCGCCCAACCCTTCAAAAAAGAGAAGCCGCTGTATTCTGTCCTTGGACAAAATCAAGAGGCTCTCTCCATAAGGGAGAGGGAAAAGAGATCGGGATGGGGAATCAATAACGCTGGCTCAGTCGAGATGAAAGGAGGCCAAAACTAACTGGTGATGTTTGGAATCTCATTTCCGAAACATCACTTCTACCACTGTCCTCAGATGCGCCTGTTCTGGGACTATGTAGGTGAATTGGCGGCTCGTATCGATGCCTAAAATCTCGTGTCCATCGATCTCGCATATGCGTGTTATAATCTGTCACACCCGTGAAACGTATGATGTTTCTAACGCTGCTAGCCGTGGCAAGGATGGTGGTGTGGGCGAGGAGAATAGAGGGAATCTTATGATACTAACATTATCAGGATCTTTGGGGAATCAGCTCAGGTTGACGATAAGAAATGACAGAAAGCGTTATTATCGGCAGATTTCAGCGAAAGGTGTGTGGAAGTCACTTGCCTGGTTTGCGTGAACAGAGTCAGCCTTGATTTCCATACTCTTTTCGTTCTTCTAGCTAA